ATTTCTAAAGAAAATGTGTTAGAAATTTGAAGAAAAACTATAAAAATCACACATAAAACACCTTAATGGAGTCAAAGTAACATAAATGCCAATGGTTATATTAACGTCTTAGTATTCACTACTGTCAGAATACGGAACTCTTCGGGTTGATTCGGCTAAGATAGTTTTCATTGCCGCAATCTATTCTATCTGCGTTCAAAAAGGCTGTGGAGGAAATACCTGAAGTACACTGGATAAAGTGTAATAAACATTAGTTGAAAAAAAAATTGGCACAAATAGTAGTCGCTAGTTATTTAAAAAGCTAAAACAATTGAATTTAGAGAACAAAAGACAAAATGTTCCACATATAAAATACGACTACTCGATGTTATTAAATTCTAAATTGCACGATAATAATATTCGCTGCAACGGAATAAATAATATAATATCTTCTAACAATACATCAATGTTTTACGATTCTTCCGACTTTTGACACATCTGTCCGGAACTACACGTGTAGTAAATTTACCACATAAATTTATGTCATGCGTGTTTGACATACAGTTTGCGTTCACTGAGCTTCAGTGTTCATATATTACTGTACGAAAATAAACAATTATATACCAAACACTCGTATATTCTTCAGTTTGCTACTAATGCCAGAAAATAGAGAGTTTAATCAAAACTTTTGATTTTATTTGCTGACTAGGATGTATTGTTATACTTGGTTGTTAAAAATAAAAACTTTAAAGTTTAAAGAGTTAAGTTTGAAGATCTGAGGTTCTTCTAGTACTTAATTGTTTTTTTTTGTGTTTAACAGGTTCTCTATTAAAGAATATTTTGTGTGGTTTAACGTCACTAGGCAGCCATGGTGGCCGGGTACGGCTAAAAATGAATAAACACAAGAACTTACTTTAAAAAATATTATAAATTATTTTACTTGTATATTAACTCACGTTTATTATTATCCCTGAAAAGTTCTCTTTGTCAGAACTTCAAAACTGTTACTATACAAGAAGAAAACATTTGTCATGGACCAATATTGTTGACTATCTACCTTATAATAATTTACACGCAATTATAACGGTTCAACAGCCTTTAATAGTCCACTGCTGGACATAAGCCTCTCCTTAGAAGGGAGGTTTTGGCCTACTATACCACGCTGGCCAGACGGGTTGGTATAGGGTTTGTGTCAAGTTTTCCTTCTCTCTGCAGTGCTGTTGTCCTGCGTAGTTTTTTCCCTTGGTCGGCTCTTACGACACCTACGGGATGAATGGACGGGACGGGATGGTGACACTCTGTATTCTTAATCCGTCACCACACGGTGATGATGATTGATGATAACGGTTAAGTATTATCATTAAACGTGAATCTAAAAACATAGGAATAGGATATGTGTCGCGACTTGCAAATACAGAAAAAAAATTACTTCGACAAGATCTAGCTGACGAAAGTTGAACTACTTGGTTTGTAATAATCATGCATTGTACAACAAAAAATCAAACATTGGGTCGGTCTACATACGGTCCACTATAAATTACCACCTGCTCTGGTTGGAGAATCTGGGATCAGTTGTAGAGACACAACACCATAATTAACTAAAACAGCAACTTTCCACGGTTCGTACCATGACGGCAATCATGTTACTGAATTTCCACTCCGATGGCCGCCACTGCTCCACCCACGCCGGGAATTCTGCCAGCGGGTGGAGAGCCGTGTCCACGGTCCGGCTATCGCAGTGGTGGCACTTAGGCGTTAGCAACTTGCGGACCCAACTCCTAAGCCTCCTTGCGCCACTGATACAGACTCGGCGACTCGCAGTATTGGGCTGAACCCTAGGCAGTCCAATAACTCCTAAGTAGTTATACAAAACACTACATCATCACGAAGCCCGCGGGCAATCGCCAATAACCTTCGGCAAAGGTCACTGCAACAATATGCATAGTTGTGACTTGTGACCTTTTGCATGTTAACGCTACACTTAATTTCGTTCAATTAAAATACGTAGCAATAACTTTGAATAACTCAAAAGAACCTTACGACTTCTTAACATGCGTTCACACAATTGTTGGAAGGTCAACACTTTTTTAAATATAAGATATTTTAAAGAATTCTGTTTTTATGCCATGAAGTCACATTAAAGTCGGCGATACTTTTTAATAGTTAATATTACCTACCGCGTTCACGTGAAAGCTTGGCTCTTTGAGTGAATTTTAGTTGACGACTGTAAAGATTCATTATAGTTTTACCACCAGTAATTTTAATAACTTTACACACCTTACACATGGAACTTGGCACAGTGTGTACTACGGTAACCAGACTGCAGATAAACATACTTATATATTACTAAAAACCTTCACACTATACATAAATCGTACTCAGATAACGAACAAATGATCGTGCTCATCACACAACTATTTGTCCTGGGTGAGAATCGAACCACGACCTCCGACTTAGGGAGTCAGTATAAGATAGGATAACCACCTGACCGACTGGCCAGACAAAAGGCAGTGTAGGTTTTATTAAGTCGCTGTGTTTAATAATTCTTCTTTAAACAACTAAATAAAAAGATAAGCCACAAGAGAGACCACCAGTAAGCACATAGACACTCCATCTACTTGTAAATAGTATTGTCCTTGCCTGAGGATCTTTTTCTCTCTTTATTTAATGAACAACTTAATTTAATGAATAACAAAATTAACAAACATATAATTAAATACTTAAAAAATATCATCTCATACACGGCCCTCTGAACCTAAACTGGGCAAAGCCTGTACTATGGCAACCAGGCTGCTGATAAACATACTTATATATTAACCCAATACTATAATACATATATAAAATCCAATTGTTTACATCTAACATATATAACTTATGCAATAGTCTGGCTCTGTCCGATATCGGAATGGCCAAAGTACTCCAACATTCTTAATGCCAAACCCCAGAGATGATGATGAGATGTCGTTCATATATTTTGAAACTTCAAGTGTCTCTGTTTGTTGTTAGTTCTACTGGCGAAAGGAGCACAGTTCTCCTTTCTTTCCAAAGGGTTCCTTTACCAAAGGGTTAAGTCACCTATCATGATATATGTGTCAGCTCATCGGTCTTAACTTCCCCGGGTTCCCTTGAAAATACACACTTGGGTTTTAACCGTGTATTTAATAATTAAAATCACTCACGGAAGTAATTATTTTAGAAATGTTCATTAATAATTTGAAGCTAATTTGAAGGATTTATGTATAGCGACAACATTTAGTAATTCTATAGGTTTTGTTTAGTTTTTGTGTAAAAGACAACTCCCGCACTAGGGATATATCTTGTATATATGTAATATATCGACATTACAAATATGGGGGTCAAACCCACAACACTCAGCATCGTAGGAAGCCGCGAGGTGACTGCTTAAATCATTACGCCATCCCTCCATTCATAGTAATTTTAGATTTTACTACGTGCTTGCCGGTTATCGCGGTAAAAAGAATTCTATAGCACTTAGGGATAATATACCTTTCTAACAGTGAAAGCATTTTCAAAATCGGATCAGTAGTACCGAGGATTACCCCGAACTTTACTTTTTTACAATATTAATATAGATAAAAGTGGAAAAGGTATTGTTGTATAAGATTATATTCCAGCGCTATTCTTTCTCAGCCAACGAAAACATGAAAGAGGTTCTCAAGTTAACCCTACTATTTTTTTTAGAGTTGTCCGATTTCGATCATTCTTTTTTTTTATTCAATAGGCAATGAACAGTTCATAATTACTCATCCATATGTAAATATATATATACGGTCTAGTAGATGGAATTTGTGTATGTAAAAGCAACTATCTCATGTTTAAACTTTAGAAATTTTTTTTTTTTTTTAATTCAAGTTTGTTTGTGTACATGTAGAATCTTTGTCCCCCAAAACCGGGTTTATGATTTGACTTGGTGATGACATGACATTTTCTCTTAGTTAAATAATTTAAAAACTATTATAGCTAGCTACAGCGCAAACTTATTATACTAAATCTAAAAAATACATTTTAAGTTTTCTCTTAAATAAAACTTTGTCTGTTTCTTCCCTGATGTCCAACGGCAGACTATTAAGATGATAAGGCACTCGTTTTTTTAAAGTTCTTTCACCCTAATAATTGTGTACTCTTGGAATAGTATATTTGTCGTGGGTCACCGAGCTAGTGTTATATTCATAATGGGTTATATTCATAACGGATTATAATGGGCTTATTTATAAATAAATAAGGCTAGTTATAAGGCTGGTTGCAGTGAGACTTGAGCTTGGGACTTGGACTTGTACATGCCATTCATGTTGCCGAGATGAAAATGCTAAGATGGATCTGTAGCGTAACTAGGATGGATAAAATCCAAAACGAGTACATACGAGGAACCTTCGAAGTCCGCGACATTGCGAAGAAGCTAGAGAGTAGGATGAGGTGGTATGGACATCACACGAGAAGACCTGCTAATTACGTTGGAAACCAGGCACTAGAACTATAGAGGAAGACCCAAGATCACATTAACAAATGTGTTGCGAACACCGACACCAGGGACAGGGCGAAGTGGAAGAAGTATACGGAGAGGGCTGACCCCACCACCATGTAGGACAAATAGTTGGGAAGAGAGAGAGAGAGAGAGAGAGAGATAATTAAATATTTAAATAAAGAAAAATGTTAAAAATTTCTAGTCTAGTGATGTGATCAATATTGTGAGAACTGGAACGTTACTTATCTGTGGCACTGTGTGCCAAAAGATATATAATCTGTGTTCCACTCCGGAAGTCCATTAAATTTACGTGTGCTGTTATACATAGTAATTAAAACCTATATAGTATTTAATATAATATACTGAGTTTTATTAATATATAACATTTAGCGACGAGGACGAACCATTATTGAAAAATATAGTAAAAATTAACAGGACTATCAAAAAAAAAAAAAAAAAAATTGTAAAATAAAAGTGCCGGCCGGCGTGACGCCATCTTTTCATAAATTGATTGCAATGCACATTGCAATAAAATCTGATGTCAGCTTCGGAACCAACTGAAAGTTTGGATAAAAAAGGTCAAAAAGATAGACTACAATTAGTAAGGGAAGGAAAGAGAACTTTCATTTATAAATGTTCAAAAAGTGAATTACTACAATTACTGCAAGAAGAAAATATCTCATTTATCAGTGACAGTGTAGAGAATTTGCGAAAAACATTGAGCGAACATTATAAAAGTAAGGAGAATTTAGTAGAAAAGAAACCAGAGAAACAAAAAACAAAGATGTTCATGTACGGCGACCTGAAAATTTTCGACGGAGATAAATGGGAAGTTTTCAAAGAACAACTCGAATGTTTCATTCTTGTTAATGACATCAGCGATGACAAGAAGGTGCCATTGTTATTAACCAAAATATCACCATCAGTATTCGAAACTTTAAACTACCTATGCTCACCACACAAACTCAGTAAATTATCGTTTGATGAACTTAGCAGCAAACTTGGAGATAAGTATGCCAAACCATTGTCCACAGCTTTGGAGAGGGCAGCTTTCAGGAAAAGAAACCAGCTTCATAATGAAAACATTGAGGATTATGTTTTAGCTTTGAGAAAATTAGCTATGGCCTGCCAGTTTAAAGATAAGGAAGATCAAATTAAAGAGAAATTTATGGAAGGAGTATCGTCTAAGGTTGTCAAATTTGAATTGATGAAAACTGAGACGGAGCTGTCACTAGAAAAATGTATTTCACTGGCACGCACAGTAGAAGCAGCATTATTACAGACAAATAATAACCATGAAATGACAGAAGTCTACTATAGTAACAAAGGAAAACCAAAACAGGATACTAAGAACAAGAATAACAACAGTGGACAGTGTTTTTGCTGCGGGAAGAAGAATCATATCAAAGCAGACTGTACTCTGAAGTTAAAATACTGTTCAGAATGTGGTCAACAAGGCCATATATTCAGGATGTGTCCGAAAAAGCAACGACAAGCGAATGTGGTGGAGACGAACCCCGGGAATGTTAAAGAGGAGGAAAAGCAGGTGGAAGTACCCAGTAAAGATGTAGATAAAGTATATATTAAGACTTATGATATTAATAGTGTAAGTAAAATACCTCCTTTTTATCTAGAAATAAAGGTCAACGGTCAAGACATTTCTTTTCAGTTAGATACGGGGTCAGATGTAACAGTGATGTCAATCAAAGATAAATCAATGTTTTTAAGAGAATTTCAGCTCAAGAAAAGCAACATACTTTTTAAGAATTTTGATCAAAGTATTTCCCGTCCATTAGGTGTTATAACAGATGTACCAATTAGATTTAAAGAAATTAACAAAAATTTAAACATTTTCATTGTACCAGACAATGTACCTAGAGTCATAGGGCGAGATTGGTTACATGAGTTTAAATTATGGCCTCCAAATATTCAGAATAGTCTGGATATCGGTATTTATATGATACAAACTGTTGCAGATGCACAGCAACATCTGAAAACCCAGTTCGCAGAAGTATTCAGCCCGGGATGGGGAAATTTTAAAGGTGATGTCATTTCATTAAAGCTACAACAGGACGCTAAACCCAAGTGCTTGCCAGTCCGGCGAATACCATTTGCCCTTAGAGAAAAGGTAAATAATGAAATTATTAGATTAATTGAAAATGGCAGAATTACTCCAGTAGAACAAAATGAATGGGGTACACCAATTGTGCCAATTTTAAAACCAGATGGATCAGTTAGACTTTGTGGTGACTATAAATTAACTATTAATCCTCACTTGGTTTTTGATCATTTTCATCTTCCCCATATTGAAGATATTATGGATGTTTTAAAAGGGGGAGAATACTACTGCGAGCTGGATTTAAAAGAAGCTTATTTACAAGCACCACTAAGTGTAGAAAGTAAGGGCTGTACCACTATAGTTACTGAGTTAGGCACTTTCCAATATAATTTTTTACCTTTTGGTGTAAGTACAGGGCCAGGTTCATTCCAACGGTTAATGTCCAAAAAATTAGCAAACATTCCCAATACTATTGTATTCATTGACAATATTTACATTAAAGGAAACACCTTGCAAGATACTTATGAAACAGTATGTCAGGTTTTAAAAAGATTAAAAGAAAGTGAATTTAAATTAAAATCTAAGAAATGTAAATTCTTTACTACTTATTTAGATGTCTTTGGTTATCGCATAGACAAAAAGGGAATTAGTATTATTAAATCCAACATAGAACCATTATTAACTGCAGAGACACCAACCAATTTAACATTATTAAAATCATTCTTGGGAAAAATTAATTATTACTCTAGATTTTTGAAGGATATGGCAACCACTATTTCCCCTTTATATGAATGTACAAAAAAGAACAGGTTTAATTGGACATCAGAGTGTGAGGAATCTTTTAAGGCTATAAAAAACAAATTAGCTTCAACAAATATTTTAAGACATTACGATCCTCAATTACCTATAATTTTAACATGTGACGCTTCAGAAACTGGGCTGGGAGTAGTATTATCAAACAGAGATAGAGATGGTACAGTTAAACCTATTTCATATGCAAGCAAAAAATTAAATTCGGTAGAACAAAAATACTGTACTATAGATAAAGAAGCTATGGCAATTGTGTATGGTGTAACAAAGTTTTATAATTATCTCTATGGACAACCATTTGAATTGGAGACCGACAATGCAGCCTTAGTACGAATTTTTGGACCTACAAAAAGTATTCCTAGAATGGCTGCCAAAAGACTGCAACACTACGCCATCTTTCTATCAGCTTTTAATTATAAAGTACGACATATCAAATCAACACAGAACCCGGCAGACTTTTTGTCAAGAACTGTCACTGTAGGTAATTCAGAAAATGAAGAAGTTAATATCTATTTATTAGGCTCTGATGATTATGGGTTTTGCTATGTAAACGAATCAGAAATGGAAACATTAAATTGGAAACTAATTCAAGAAAATTCAAAAAGGGATACTATTTACTCCAAGGTTATAAGATATCTGACTGACGGGTGGCCCGAGAAAAAAGAAATTGATAAAAATATTCTGCCATTTTACCATAGAAAAGAGGAATTATCTCTAGATAAAGGTTGCATATTTTGGGGATATCGTATATTAATTCCTCAGGCCATTCGGGAGGCAGTATTAGCCGAATTACATAAAAGTCATTTTGGTATTATCCGAATGAAAGAAATAGCTAGGTCATATTTTTGGTGGCCTAATTTAGATTCTATGATTGATGGTATTACCAAAAATTGTTTATTTTGTTTACAAAATAGTAAAAGCCCTTGTAAAATTCAGAATCCATGGCCTGTACCACCTTCAACATGGTATAGAATTCATGCGGATTTCATGGGCCCCTTTTATAATAAAATGTTCATGGTAGTGGTAGATAGCTATTCTAAATGGCCAGAAATATTTGAAATGGGAAACATTACTAGTAAACGCACTATAGAAATATTAAAAGGTTTATTTGCTCGCTATGGCTATCCTATACATTTAGTTACAGATAATGGAAGGTCTTACACAAGCACTGAGTTCCAAGAATTCTGTAAACAAATTCAAGTAAAGCATACATTTTCTCCACCTTACCACCCTGCTACAAATGGTGCAGCTGAGAGATTTGTGGAAACATTTAAATCCGCTGTAACAAAGATAAAAGAAAGTGGACTAGATCTTTATTCAGCAATTAATTTGTTCTTATCTGATTATAGAAGTACTCCACAACGTACCACTGGAGTGTCCCCGGCTAGATTAATGTTGGGTAGAGAAATCAGAAATAGATTTAGTTTGTGGAGGCCACCACCTTTGGTAGAGACTGTGCAAGAAAGAGTGGAGGGGAGAGAGCAGGGAAATAGAAATGTAAAATTTAAAGTTGGACAAAAAGTAATGGTGCGGGATTACAGGAAAGGTGGTAAGCCATGGGTTCTGGGTTTAATAATTGAAGAATCAATACCTGATGTTACCTATGTAATAGATGTTGAAGGTTGTAAATGGAAACGCCATGTGAACCAAATGTTACAGTGTGCGGAAACATTAAGTGAAAGTAAGATGAGCAAAAAATCTGATCTGAACTGGCTTTCATCATCTACTAATAATTTTAAAACCACTTTATATATTAATAATTAAGATAGGTACATTATTTAAGTGTTTATTAAATATAAGGTATAATAGTAATAAGATAAGCTACCTAACCTGAGTGTATGCATACTGTTATGTGCGGGAGAGTGTGAGAACTGGAACGTTACTTATCTGTGGCACTGTGTGCCAAAAGATATATAATCTGTGTTCCACTCCGGAAGTCCATTAAATTTACGTGTGCTGTTATACATAGTAATTAAAACCTATATAGTATTTAATATAATATACTGAGTTTTATTAATATATAACAAATATTCTTATACAAAACACTTACTCATAGAATAAGACGTTTTTGTAGATCTCCAGGTATTCGAGACTCCATACAAAAGAGACCTTCACCTAGCTAAGGTCTTATTCCAAAACGTACTACAGTTTTGCTAGTGACTAGGTAAAAATATTTCACATCAATCATTCACTCTATATATATATTTATAAATATCTGTATCCTGCCACGCTTTGCTGTGGCACATTGAGGTTGCATTGATGAGAAATGAGGAAAAGAACTGACGAGATGAAAACACTTTGTCACTATTTACAACCCGGTTCAAAGACCGGGTTGTAAATAGTGACAAAATTTGAGCTCAATCTATGCAGAACCTTTCGAGTATTTCACAAATCAACTTCACATTCTCAAATACGCCGGTAGAATTAGCGGCACCCAAAAAAAAAGTAGAATTAATGTATTTTTTGGAACACTGGCCGGTTACATTACTTTTTTAATTTTAGGTCTAATATAAAAACGGAACATTGGTCGACAGTCACTTTTTTTCATTCGTTTGTTTTAATTTCATTCATTCATACATCTTCATCCACTGCTTCGAAGTTGATTTTCTGTTTATGTAAAGTTCGTAAATTTCATTTGAAAAACATTGTATTGCAGTTTTATGAGACTTGTGTTTTCTCGCATTTATTTAGATTGATATAAAACAGACAGGAGATCAGTAAACTATGATATCGTTTAAGCAATCACCAACTACTACACTTGATGAAATACTTCACTTTTTTGTTTTTAACGGACTGGTCTTTTATACTGCTTTTTAAATCATAGATGCGCATCAACTTTTACAGCGTAAGACCCGATTATAAGGATGAATGACTTGGCAACGTTTACTGGGTCGAGCCATAAAAAAAACAAAAAGAACCTTTATAATTTACTTCCATCCAGTATAATATATTCTAACTTACATCGTTATAACTATGTAAAGCTTAAGAACATTAAGGACACAACTGAATTAAAAAGCTTCAATTCAAGATTAATCTTTTAGACTCCTCAATACGAATTACACAAGGCGAAACTCGCGTTAACTAGTAGGCACTAAAGAATTCCATTATCTGGATCGATCCAGCACTTGAAGCCCTCCTGGCTTCAAGTGCTGGATCGGTTCCAAGATGCTAAATCATAGTAAGGTAGCTTTTGCCCACGGCTCCACCCGCGTGTATGTCGATTATCGCGCTAAAAAATCCATGTCCTACCTCAAGAATCAAAGTATGTCCATTCCAAATTTCATTAAAATCGGCTAAGCTGTTTAACCTTAAAAGCGTAGCAGACAGACAGTTAGTTTCGCATTAGCACTTTCGCACATACTACATACAATTAAAAAAAAAACAGTATTGTTGTCTAAATTGCATAATTATAGTATTATTATCTAAACTACACATTATATTACAACTAACAATAAGTTATTTAGTAAATTAGCTTATAAGTAAAGTTAATAAAATTTGATTTCAGAAAGTTTTTAAGTTGGTTTAAGTAGTAATGTACTCGTAAGTAAAAAAAGAAGAATTGCTAAGGAAACACTCCGATAGAGCCGGCCCATTTGTGCCGAAACATGGCTCTACGTTCTTTGAGATCGTGTTATCACTCCGGTCAAGAAGGTTAAAGTAAGAGAAAAGTAAAAAAAAAATGTAAAATTATAAAAGGACCGAGAGCAAAACCAAGCGGCATAAAAGTGTCTTGTGAAACAAGATTAGGGAGCAGTTCACGTTTTTTGTTGTGTGCATTGTGATGCGTCTGTGCTGGTACGAGTACGACTTTGTATTTCATTAGTGAAGGGACACCGACATCGATACTTAAATATGTTTTTATTTTTATTTTTGTTAGTACTGTTTAGAATGAGAAATCCTAACGTTGTCCCAATGTTATCTAGTTTCAATGACATAGAAATAGCTATCGCGCATTAATTCTCGTAGTACATAATTATATAAATGCCACGGTTGGGAATAAAATGCCTTTAACAGACAACTTGACTTAGAGTCACTATGCAGTTCGCCAACTGCTTACTTGCATTTTTTTTTTTAATTTTTAATTTCTAGTTTAGTTTACTTTACAACTTACAATATCAAATTCGTTATAATTATAAACTACTAATTATAAACTACTAAATAATATTTTAAGAAGTTTCAAATCTCAACATAATATCTCTCTATCTCTTCCGTCAAGATATAACTCTGTTCGTCTAAGTTACTTTTGCATTTGTAATATTAAGTAAAGATAAATTTTACATTCATTTTCAGTTTTATAATAATGGCTGCTAAGCGACATCAACTCTGAAACTTTGAATAATAAATAACTGAAAACTTTGTACAGCGATATCACCATTTTTCCAAAGGATTTTCTCACGAATGTGTCATTTGATGTCGTGAATAAATGAAACATTGTAGGTCCCGTGACAGATATTTAGGATTGAAATCTTGAATAATATAATATAATTCAACGAAAGTATTTTTAGTGTCTAATTTCTTCTAATAAGAGTGACTTTGTTGATTATGTGCTTACTCTTATTATTAACAAATAATTACAAAAAATCATTACCAAATCATTAAAAAATACACCAAATGGGTAACGTACTTACCATCTCTGGTTCAAGAACCCTAGCACAAGCAGGATTCTGGAGTGAAAGAAATCCAACCGCCGAAACTACTGAATAATACAAAAAAACATGAACAATTCGTACTAATGGTATAGCGATTTTCTTCTGCAGATGAGGTCACGAGTATTAGCTATGCAGAAAATAGACTATGGATAATAAAAGATAAAGACTACTTTCCAACAAGCGGACTGAGTTCCTCTTTGACAACTTATTTAAAACCAAAAGAAAAGAAGCTACATAACTTGTCTTTTATTTGACGATACACATACAATTGAAGGCATATTGCAGAAAAAAAGATAAAATAAATCGACAATAATGTTCATATTCCATGGAGGCACGTCCCATCACTATTCTTACTTGGAGAGTGCTCAACTCGAGGCCGCGGTCTGCACGTTTCATTTGTCTCGCTGTCTGCAGAATTGTCTCGTCCTAACGCGGCCTACGTACAACTAGCCAGACTTATCTAGCCTTAGATATACTTGAACGTGCCTACGTGAACTAGATAGAGAGTTAGGAATACTGAATACATTTATTTTAGTTTTAAAACTTGTTCATACGTGACAATGTATTGAAGACAATCATTAAAGATCGGTTGATATTTATTTTAGTTCTTTGTATGGTACAGTTGACTGGTATTTGATTGCGATATTTGTCGGCCCGGGAGTGGAGGGGGAAATTTTGTTTTTGTCGGTGCATTAGGCAATCTCTCACCCTCTAGTCCGTGTTATTTATTAAAATTGTACAAATGATAGCAGTCTTCCAAAGGTAAGTTTATTGGTAGAAATACTTTGGAAGTAATTTTAATGTGGTCTTTAATGAAAAGTTTAGGGAATATAGAAGTTTTTTTAATGATATAGGGGGGCAAATGAGTAGACGGGTCACCTTGTGGTAAGTGACTACCGTCGCCAATGGACACCAACATCTTAGTAGTAACAAGTGCGTTGCCACCCGTTTAGTCCCACCTCCCAGAATCAGGATTTATTATTAATCCCTTCTTTTCCTTTCTACGGTAGCTTTCATGTAAGGTTTACTATGGTATTAACTACCAAACTGTTACAAGATATAGTAGGTATTCAAATCGGAATATACAATAATTATTTATTACCTATAAAAATAATTATAGTTTCTAAAGTACCACTGTGCTGATTACAATGTTGTGTTAAAGGAAATTGAATCTTAAAACAATGCCCAAAGTTCTCCATTTAACGCACTGTGCAGAAGTCTAACCCATGTTTGCAGAATACTAAGCTTCGACCTCAACGACCTGGTTCGTATATTTATGTACTTTGTACGTGTATTAGTGTACATTAGTGTGTAGTGTTTGCACTCGGTGTTAAGTAATTGATTTATATTGCCACGGTTGTTATAACATAAAGCTGCAATCTGAAAAACACCACTTTGACCAAATGAGGTTCGAAGGTTTTCATTTTTACTTGTTAGTGTTCTCTCTAGTATGAATTTTATAACTATATATATATATATATATCTTTTATCCGTATGCTGATGGATTAAGAATATGGAGTGTCACTATCCCTATTCATTCCGCTGGTGTCGTAAGAGCTGACTAAGGGAGCAAACTACGCAAGACAACAGCACTGCAAAGAGAAGGAAACCTGGAAACAAACCTTACACCAACCCATCTGGTCAGTGTGGTATAGTAGGCTAAAACCTCCTTTTTTAAGAAGATGCATCCAGCAGTGGATTACACATCGACTCGATCATCACGGTGACCGCGTTCGGCGTTCTGATTGGCCCGAACTAAACTTTTTACCAATCACAACGCTGAACGCGCAACGAGTAGAAGTGAAATAAAAGCGATCTGCCGAGAAGCGTGAATGTAGCTGGCTAAAAAGAGCATAGAGGTCAGGGTCAGAGGTCGTGGACTGGGACAAATAATGGTGTGATGAGCACAACCAAATATATCTGGGTATAATTTAGCTACAATACACATGTATTTAAAAATATTTTTAGTATATTTATTAGCTGTCTGGTTACCATAGCACAACACTGCCTAGTTTGTTATCAGTCTACCATGTGTGAGATGTGTGAAGTTATTATTATTATGAATGTCTAATAGTTATTCAATAATTTATCTCAATTAAACTAACAAATTATACAATAGCATCGAGAATATCAATTGTTGTTCGAAGAAATGGTAGCTAACTTAGTTGTTTTTGTTCAGGTGAAGAACTCAACTTAAACATTGAGTTTATAACTATCTATCCTTTATTACTAACTATCCTTAAACTTTATTCAAACGAAACGATGCTTGAATAGAGTTTCACAATATAATATTCAAGTCGTTTAATAAACAATGAGTAGACACTTAAGTTGTTTCAAACTCATTTATAAGTTCACTAAAAATTAACACCGACTTCAATACGACCAGACCATGATAAACTGTATTTTGGGTAGCACAATTTTGTTGAAGTTGGTATTTTTTATTAAAATTTGAATGGAAATAAATGAGAAGTAGGTATACACTTAAAAAGATTTATTCCAAAACGGTTTCCATAAATGACGATATTCTGAGGTAATAAAAAAATCTACAAAAATATGATTTGTTCCTTTTTTTATGTCGTTTAAAAATTCACGTAACCGTAACAGTGTTCAGGTGATAGGTAATTGACGTTTCACAGCTGAAATATAGTTCTGATAATCGTTACTCGTTAAATAGTATTACGATTCCGTTCGGTTTATTTATCCGAATGACATTTTTATTAACGAAACGTGATGATTTATTAGAAACATTGCGAATCACCTAACTTTCGCCCTTTTCAAGTGATACTCTACCTCATCGTTGTTCAATACTTTGCTTTTCTTATTTATTTCATATTTTTCATTATTTATATGGATGGCGTAGTGGTTTGTGTAACGGACTGCTTTTCCAAAGGTAGTGGGTTCGATTCCCGCACATGTCAAACATTTGTGTGCATGAACATTTAATGTTTGATTGGCTTTAGTGTTTGCATGTAAAATAAGTATGTATTTTCAAAAAAAAAAGTATATAATTATTTATATCAGTTGTCTAGTACCCACGGTACAAGCTCTGATTAGTTTGGGACTAGGTGACGTTGTATGAATGTGGTAGAATATTAAAAAAAAAACTAATTCTAAGTGGATTCTGGAGGTCTAGTGCAAGTTTATTTCACATTACCTCGCTCTCAATGGCGCGTTCTTCATTACGATTAGTGAAGAGTTCAGTGCGGGCTAATAGCAACGCCTAACACGGTCCGCGCCGTCGAGAGCGATGTTAGAGAAAATCCCTGATTTGAATACTCGGTCGAACAAGCTTTTTTAATTTAGCATTTGCCCACTTAAATTTATTGAGATTGAAAGAAGGTAGGCGTGAACATTCAACTCAAAATTAATGCACCGATTCTCTCTGAAACTTAAAATTTCTTAAAATTCTTAAGTTATGAGTAAGCTTTTGTTATAACGATTTAAAATTGAAGTCCAATTATAAGGAAGTGCACAAACAAATGTTTTATATATACATATTAGTATTTATAACAGGCATAATAAAAGCAATTTTACATGCAGAACAGCGATTTATAAAAGGCTCCTGACTCTTAATTGAAGTAATCTAAGGAGTGAATTATAGAAAGAAGCTTTACTTTGGCTTTTTAAACAAATATTTGCCCAAATTTAAAAGATGGAATAAGTCCCCAATACCTCAATCTTGTTATCTTCATGGGCGTGGCCAGTAACTGCCGCAAAGAATCAAACACAGAGATAGACTGCTAAAAGTAAACCACGTACATTACACAAATATCCCTAATATACTCGTGTAGTGACGGATTAAGCATAAGGAGTGTGGCCATTTATTCTCACATTTCTCTATTCATCTGGTGGGTGTCGTAAGAGCCGACTAAGTAAGTAAACTACACAGGACAACATCACTGCAAAGAGAAGGAAAACTTGAAACGAACCCTATACCAACCCGTCTGGCCAGTAACATGGTATAGTAGTTAGAAACCTCCTTCCTAAGGAGTATCCTATATGCAGTAGTGGACTACGCAAAGTTGTTGATAGGGACGATGACTCGTGGATTCATTTAAAGAAAATTAAGTAACACAGGCAAACATTAGAAAAAATAGACAGTGACCCTCGTGCGTCTAACTCTAGCGACTTTAATAATAGTAGATTTTTTTGTCTAAGTCTCATCTCCTTATGCTATTCTATTCTGCTGTATTTAAATGATTTGTCTAATAAGTTGAGAAAAATTTGTAAGCACATAATCTCGATCAATCGATTGAAACAGACAATTTTTTTATTAAAAAAAGAATGAAAAGGTGTATTGTATAATATAAGACATAGTTAAAGATCTATGGATTGTATGCAATAATATTTAATAATGTTCATAGTAATAAACTGCACTTATTATTCAGCAGTCAGGCGTTTGATTTCTCTGGTTTACTAATATTATAAAGCTGAAGAATTTGATTGTTAGTTTGTTTGTTTGGTTGTAGCGCTATTCACGGAAACTACTACTTTTAGTATTGCAATTTATCATTGAAGCCTATAGACTATATAACATCACGCGACGACCAATAGGAACTGAGCAGCAATGAAAAATGATGCAAAAAAGGGGCAAAATATTATTTTTGAGAGACGCAGCCGAAGTTGCGCGGGTCAGCTTAGAACAAATAGTATTCTAAACCGAAGCTGCACTTTATAATATCGATATCGCAGAAAATTAACGTCAATTTTAACTAATATACAGTCGTACTTGTACAGAGCTTTTGGTACGGAAATGGTCAAAATGGGTGTTTAGTTTTGATGAAAATATAGACTCAACGGGTTTTAGAAGTTAGTTTCACCGTTTAAGCGGAGTGATTAGTCTCCTGGGATTAGTAATTAGTTCCGTTGTGTTAGTTTAAGGGAGTTATGTGAATAAGTACAGTTTTATATTATTATGTTTGGAGATATTTATGGTTTATATAGGCACCAAAAAAAAAAAAATTCTAGACTAACTGAAAACTCAATAATAGTGTTGTTTTTAACTAAAAAGATAGCTAAAGGAATTGAAGACTTCTATATTTTCCTAGTAAGGCCGTGGTGACTTCCATATGCATCAGTAAACAATTCAATACCATCTTACAAAAACGTAACAAAACGGATTGACCAAGTATAAATAAATATAGCTTCAACAA